CCAAGCAATTTAACAAACAACTTGTCACTCTTGCAGAACAGTGGAATCCAGAGCTCAGAACTGCTGGAAATTAGACAGGAGTTCTGAATCTTTGTATCCTTTGAAAAAAACAAACAAAGATAAACTTTTACTAGCATCATTTATCACCAATATTATAATGCTTACTAAAAGAAACCTTGTACAAAGGAAGTGAAAATATTAAGAGCTGCTGTGGTTACAAATTTTGAACATAACAGCCAAGAAATAAAGCAAAAGGAATTCATAGATTTACAAAATTTATAAAGTACAGCATTATAATTTGTGTTTTTTCTCATGTGGATAATAAAACCAAATTTGTCCTAAATTCCAGCCTTGATTAGCTAAATCAAACCAATTAGGATAATAGAGGGCTAAAACCAAGGCAACAAATCAAATATAACTAAGCTTCACATAACTATATGCTCCAGCAAAATTTTAAAAGGTTAAACAAACAGCATGTACCAGACAAAGCAGCCAAATCAGATACAGAGTTCAGCTATATAACTCTACACAGAAGTACTCCTTCTGAATTTGAGCTACCAATGTATATACTCACTTTCCCTAATACCTAAGTATGCATTTCTAACATTATCATTCTTACCACCATATAAGCAGTTTATTAAAACCCGTAAAACGTTTAACACCAATGCCAGTTTTCTTACAGTCTAGCTTATGAGAAAATAAATCCAACAATACCTAACAATGTATTTTAAAAAACAAACACTGGAAAGACCTTATACCAGAGAAAGAATGTCCCAACACAAAACATTGTGAACATTAAAACATCTATTTAATATTAGCCATTTTTTATAGTATTAGTGTTTTTATGGCATAAGTTTTGCCACTTTTTGTTTTCAATTTCATCGTAACACAGGTTTTTTTAGCTAATGTATTTTAAAAACTTGTTCTATTTTCCTCTATGAGAAAAAGCTTTCATGTCAGTGTTTTGAAGCCAATATTTTGTTTAGTAGCAGAGCTTCAAGCCCCAAGTTTATAATCCCCATTACAGATGAGCCTTTCTACTTGAAAAAAGCTCATCCCAAAATAAAAAAATATGCACAAAGCATTTAAAAACAAAACAAAGGCAGAAACAAAAGTTATCTAGATATTAATGAAACTGATATCTTCCATAATCATAAAAATCTCATGCACCCAAAATAAAAAAAAGATAATCTATAATAATAAAAGGATGCATCTACTTGTCTGTGTGTGACCACCATAGCTCCAAGAGGAAAGAACCTAGAAAACCTGAAAGTTTGCACACATACTAAGTGAATCCTATGGATTACAACCTGGGTATTATTACTTATCTATGTTTGTGCATACATGTGCATCTTTTTATGTGAAAAACCACATAGAAAAGAAATGTAACTGTGATAGCTCCAAGAGGAAAGAACCTAAAAACTTGAAATTTTGCCCCCATACTAAGTGGACCCTGAGGGTGTACACCTGAGTATTATTACTTATGCATGTGCGTGCATGCACATCTTTTTAATGAGGCAAGCTAGCAAAAAACCACATAGAAAAGAAGTGGTTCCTTATATAACAACTTCTAATATATAGAAAAGTCAATGCATTTTGGTAACAATGCATTTCAACAACGACTTTCATATTATGTTGCTTTGCAATAAAAGTATAACCTAATACTGTTGTTAAGAGGCTATGTGCTGAAAGTATAAAATGGAATGTATAAACTACAAAATAGAAAAAAAATATTCTAATTTAGAGTCTCCATTAATTAAAGAGGTTTGTTTTTTATTACATAACTTTAAAATTAGATCGATATTTTTACTTTCATGTTACATTTTATGCACCTGGCTCTAGGCTTTACAGCTTTTTTTATGTTGCTGGAAAATAAAAAATGTTTAAAATATTTTTGACTGTTCATCTATGCTACAATATGTTCAGAATACACACACACACACACTGACATAGTCATCTGGAATATATCAACCTAATAACCCAAGCGAAGACGGGAACTTTCGCTAATTCATAAATACAATGATGCCTAATAAGTATTACTGGTGAAAAATTATCTACATAAATTAAAATACCTTATCAATATTTGATGATAATGAAAAACTGATTTAACAAGAACATAAATAAATAAAAAAAATGTGTTACCGTTCCAGCACAAAATGAACTGAACGCTGTCCATTGGTCATCATCAGCTTGTATCCACACTTGAACGACACTGTCATGACAAGTGACAATAATGGAATACTGATCTTCCACGACATGAATCCTTCTCACTGGCTCTGTCACTGATGTCTATTGATATAATTATTCATTTTCATTCAGGTCAAACTATAATCAAAATCTTCTCATGTTAGTTCACATGGCTACTTTTATGATCATGTTCCTTTGAAGGATGTTATTGGTTACAGAATTAAGAAATGAGAAAACAATGTAAACAACTAAAAATAAGTAATTTCTATTTAATTCTTATATAAATTTTGATCTTTTATCTAAGACATCTTAAGTTAAGCTTTTACTTATAGAAAAAGATGGAATTTACTTTAGATTACATAAAATATTTGTTAATAATAGCAACAGATTCCAAAGAGAGAACAAGTCTTGTAGTGAAGACAAAGATAGTGGTTAGGATGTAAAACATTAAGTGTGAAACATTTTCTAATACCCTTATTCCATATTTAATACAACACTTAAGTGTGAAACATTTTCTAATACCCTTATTCCATATTTAATACAACACTTAAGTGTGAAACATTTTACAATACCCTTTATTCCATTTCTTAATACAACACTTAAGTGTGAAACATTTTACAATACCCTTATTCCATTTCTTAATACAACACTTAAGTGTGAAACATTTTACAATACCTTTATTCCATTTCTTAATACAACACTTAAGTGTGAAACATTTTACAACACCCTTATTCCATTCTTTAATACACTTACTATTTTCAGGTTTAGCCAATGATGGAATAAGTGCATTCAAAAACTTTCAACTGATGTAAATATTTTTCATCCATTCTGACCTGCTTTTCAGCAGTTGCAAGATCTCTACTATATGCAAAAATATCAATTTTACGAAATTGCCATTAACTGTTCTTGATTTGACATGTTTACCGTAATCCTGTACTAGAACTTGTTTACAAAGAACCATTCGAGCTGACACAGAAACAATCAGTTTCAACATAAATTACAAAGTGCATTACAGGTTATATGCATTGACAACACTCCAGAACTTGTACACTGCACTACAGAAGTAGTGAAACTCAGTGAAAAGTAGTACAACACGGTACATTCTTTATTTAAACACCCCCTATGATGAAACATTATAATAAATTTGTTTCTTTCTTACCTTCAAACATTCAAGCAACTCTAGAGAGTTCACATCATCACAACTAGATGTCATGCAGCTTGTTAGAGGGGAACCTCTGGAATATGTACAATCCTTATATTTTACACTTGGCTCTGGTTTTGAATTATTTATGATAGCCAGTTGATGAATTTCTTTGCCATCACCATTAATAGTATGTAGTACGGTTCCATTTTCTTCCAAATCCTTCCTTGCATGGTTGTCTTGACCATGGCTTACATTAATTGCAATTCTATCTTTTTTCAATCTTGGTGAAATCTTATTCCTTCTAGTTGACACATCTTTACTTCTACATTTTTCTTCCAAATCAATCACTTTTTCCTTGTCAAACATCACATGCTGCAGCTGGTTTGTTACAGTACTCACCGCATCATCATTACGAGGCTCATTTTCATTGTTTTTCACCAAACTAACTATACAGTCATTTTCTGGTTGGTTTTTACTGGTCAGTTTCCTTGAATCTTGCAGTAGTTCACTTTTATCTAAAGAATCAATATTTTCATTGTACAAAGTGATTCCTCTGGATTCACCAAACTGGTCTTTTACAGTTAATTGTTGGATTTGTTCTGTAACTAATGGAGTCAATTCTGTCTCCTTTTCACTGCTTTCAACACTATCACCTTTCTGTCCCCGATCGCTATAAAAACTGTTATTTTTGGAACTACACCCCAACTGTACAGTTTTTTGTAAACTTAGTCTTTCCTTCACAACCTTCAGTTTGAGAACAGCAAATTCTGAATCTGGTAAGACAAAATCTGTGACAGGTTCAAATCTGGAATCCTTTAACAGCTTTTTGAAGAAAGGATGAATTTTGGACATTCTTCTTGAATTCTTGTGAATATGAAACTTTTTCTTCTTAATCTCTTTGGTACTAGTATCACATCTTTCCAGGCTGCTAGGCAACCTGTCGATAGAAGAGTCGAGTTTCAGATGTGGCGAAAAACAACTCTTATTATGAGGATGGCCATCCATTTGTTTCTGATGCAACCTTGGGGATCTTCTGTTTAACAAACATTCTGGATTATTGCTTCTAGGACTGGAGCTGTCATAGTCTAAACTATTATCTCTTTGTTGGTTTGCTCCCCCTGAACATATTTCTCCACGAATGATGTTTTCAGATGTATCCCTTAAGGGAATATTTCTTTTATTTAAAGACATAACAGTTGCCAGACCTTGTTGTTGTTTTTCTTCACAATAACTATTTATAAACTTATTTTCTTTCACATCATGCATATTTGTATCTGACAATATTTCATTCAAAACTGTTCCACCACAAAGGTCTTCAGATTTAACTGCATTTTCGAAGTATGTTTTCTTAGAACTTTCTTGCAACGTATTCAACTGCCTATGGCTGTTACCTGCTGATAAGGTTCTATTTGCATATCCGTTTCCTGACACACGAGTTGTGGTGAGTGACTTTGTTCTTTCTCTGCTCCTTCTTTTCATTTCAAATGAAGTAACATCAGATGACATTTGTTTTTTATTATCACCAGAACATTGGAGGATTTTATCATTAACAGATATACCTCTGAAAGATTGATGCAGACTTACTGTGTCCACATTGGATCTTTTTTGAGTTGTTCCATTACCATGGTCAGCATAATCAGTTCTTTTCTGACCAGTAATACTGTCATGGATGACAGTAGAAGGCTTAAGTTGATCAGCACCATTACCAAAGATGCCTATATCAGTGTATTGTTGATCAGCATTAACATCATGGATGCTAGTATCTGGGTTTAGTGGACCCATATCAACATTCATGGATGACAGTAGAAGGCTTAAGTTGATCAGAACCATTACCAAAGATGCCTATATCAGTGTATTGTTGATCAGCATTAACATCATGGATGCTAGTATCTGGGTTTAGTGGACCCATATCAACATCATGGATGTCAATATCTCTGTGTTGTTGGCCAGATTTAACATCATGAATGTCAGCATATGGGTTTAGTGGACCAAAATCAGTACAATTGATTTCAGTAAGTGGGTTTTGTTGACCAGTTTTAACATTATGGATGTTAGTATCTGGGTTTAATGGACAAATATCAGCATCATGAATGTCATTATGTGGGTATTGTTGACCAGTTTTAACATCATGAATGCCAGTATCTGTGATTAGTGGCCCAATATCAACATCACAGATGTCAGTATGTGGGTTCTGTTGACCAGTTTTAACATCATGAATGGCAGTATCTGTGATTAGAGAACCAATATCAATATCATGTATGTCATTATCTGTGATTAGTGAACCAGTATCAACATCATGGATGTCAGTATGTGGGTTTTGTTGACCAGTTTTAACATCATGAATACCAGTATCTGTGATTAGTGAATCAGTATCAACACCACGGATGTCTGTATCTGTGATTAGTGGACCGATATCAACATTATGAATGCCAGTATCTGGATTTTGTGGACCAATATCAACATCATGTATGTCATTATCTGTGATTAGTGAACCAGTATCAACATCATGGATGTCAGTATGTGGATTTTGTTGACCAGTTTTAACATCATGTATGTCATTATCTGTGATTAGTGAACCAGTATCAACATCATGTATGTCATTATCTGTGATCAATGGACCAGTATCAACATCATGAATGTCATTATGTGGGTTTTGTTGACCAGTTTTAACATCATGAATACCAGTATCTGTGATTAGTGGACCAATATCAACATCATGTATGTCATTATCTGGGATTAGTGAATCAGTATCAACATCATGGATGTCAGTATGTGGATTTTGTTGACCAGTTTTAACATCATGTATGTCATTATCTGGGATTAATGAACCAGTATCAACATCATGGATGTCAGTATGTGGGATTTGTTGACCAGTTTTAACATCATGAATGCCAGTATCTGGATTTTGTGGACCAATATCAACTTCACGGATGTCAGTATGTGGGTTTTGTTGACTAATATCAACATTATGGATGTCAGTATATGAGTTTTGTTGACTATTATCAACATCATGGATGTCAGTATGTGGGTTTTGTTGACTAATATCAACATTATGGATGTTAGTATATGAGTTTTGTTGACTAATATCAACATCATGGATGTCAGTATGTGGGATTAGTGGACCAATATCAACATCATGTATGTCAGTATATGGGTATTGTTGATCAATATCAACATCATGCATGTCAGTATGTGGGTTTTGTTGACCAGTTTTAACATCATGAATGTCAGTAGGTGGGATTAGTGGACCAATATCAACATCATGGATGTCAGTATGTGGATTTTGTTGACCAGTTTTAACATCATGAATGTCAGTATGTGGGATTAGTGGACCAATATCAACATCATGGATGTCAGTATATGGGTCTTGCTGACCAGTTTTAACATCATGAAGGCCAGTATCTGTGATTAGTGGACCAATATCAACATCATGGTTATCAGTATGTGGGTATTGTTGATCAATATCAACATCATGTATATCAGTATATGGGTTTTGTTGACCAGTTTTAACATCATGAATGCCAGTATCTGTGATTAGAGGACCAATATCAACATCATGTATGTCAGTATGTGGGTATTGTGTACCAATATTAACATCATGAATGTCAGTACCTAGAATATGTTGATTTGTAATTTTACAATATATACAATCATCATGTTTTTGATCTTTAAAAGCAACTGGTAAACAAGATTTTGTACTATATTTATCTTTATCAGTTTGAAAAATATCATATTCTGGCTCCCAATCATCCACCAAATAAATATCAAGACTGTTTTCAATACAGTTATTAATGAATGGTTTTGCATTAATTTCATCCTTATCAATACCAACAGGATGTTTATTTGGATAAACTTTGGTTTTACAGTAGACATCAGGTCTTTCTCTTTTTGTAGCATGGCACGTAAAATCATACAGTTTTTCACGTCTTTCAGTTTCGAATGAATCGTTAACATCCCAAGTTTTACTCTCCGAATAAAAACTAAGCACATCTTTATCTAAATAAGTATGGTGTTTTATTTCACTGTCTTCTTTTAGTCCCTTTTCTTTCTTGCTGACATCACACCATTCTGCAGGCTTTCCTCGGATAGAAGAGCTGAACTGGTTACTAACAGACCCTTGCTTACTGTACAGTTCTTCACAGGGATTAACCTCTACAGTGGGATGTTTGTCTTTTATTTCTGGCACATTAGTCCTTTTATTACCATCACAACTGGAAATTATATAAGTGCTTGAGACTTGAGAAAAGTATTGTTCCTTTTTACTAATAGGTTTTGAGTCATAATTTTTGTAGTCTCCAGGTTTTACATCTAATTGATGTTTCACATTCACTCCTTCTTGATTAGTCTTAATAAAATCTCTTTGAGCATATGAGGAATTCTGTTTCTTTTTATCTACTGATAACCATTCCATAATAAATTTACCCTCTCCCAATTTCGTATCTTTAAGCTTCGTACTAACAGTCTGAGGAGAACTTGCTGGAGAACAAACTGTCACAACTCTTGTTTTTAACGTCATAGCATCATTAACGGTCTCTCTAAGGGCTTTGTTTCCTTCCTCGATTTTCTTTTGTACATGTTGCTTGGCCTTTACTCTTCTTTCTAATTTCTATAAAAATAGAAACTGAGTCAAAAAAACATATAGAAATAATCATACAAAGCAGTTACAATCAATTCTTATCACTGTGTAGTGTCTTTTGAAAGGACTAGGTCACAATAAATTCTTACTGGGTGAAAGGACAAGGTCACAAAATCTTACTGGGTGAAATGACTAGGTCACAATAAAATATTACTTGGTGAATCTTGAAAGGACTAGGTCACAATAAAATATTACTGGGTGAATCTTGAAAGGACTAGGTCACAATAAAATCTTCTTGGATGAAAGGACTATTTCACCCAAGATTTTATTGTGACCTAGTCCTTTCATCCAATAAGATTTTATTGTGACCTAGTCCTTTCACCGAATAAGATTTTATTGTGACCTAGTCCTTTCATCCAATAAGATTTTATTGTGACCTAGTCCGGTCACAATAAAATCTTCTTGGATGAAAGGGCTAGGTCACAATAAAATCTTATTGGGTGAAAGGACTAAGTCACAATAAAATCTTATTGGGTGAAAGGACTAAGTCACAATAAAA